GGCTGGTACAAAAAGCTCCTGTGGCTATTCTTAATCCTGTATTCTGTATAATTTCGAGCTGAGCAAGTAATGTTTTCTTGGCAAAAGCGTAAACTATTGATCCGTAATCAATCTTTGATCGTATAAATGATTTGTAAATGTTAATAAGGCTTTTAAAATCTGAACCCCAATTGTTATTACACAGAGTTCGCAATAAATTCACACCAGTTTGGCAAGTTTTCTTGACGTACATAATGTGCATTTTCCAAGAGAGTTTGTTATCAAAAAACATACCTAAAAATTTTATATGATCAACATATTCTAAGCTGTTTTCCATATATGTGCAGATTTGGCTTTGTAGAATGTCGATTTTTTGAGAACAATATACATTTTGTTTTGGTAGTAGAAAATTGTACTCCCACAGCTTTTGACCAATTCTCAAGATGATTTAATGTACATTGTAGATTTTTTTGTATCGAGCGAATATTTTTCCTTTTGCATATAACACCAAATCATCAGCATATAATCTAGCTTTAACAAGATTTTGGTAAATTATCTAATATTTTAGTTTATTGAAATCAAAAAAAGTGTTGAACTTATAACAGATCCTTGTGGAGTTCCATTTTCTTGATTTTTCATACTTGATGTAACACCATTTACACGTACGTTAAATTTCCGATTGTTTAGGAAATTACGAATAAAACAGAGCATGTGACCTTTGACTCCCCAGTGACTTAATGTGTTTAAAATATCATACCTCCAAGCCATATCGAAAGCTTTATTTATATCAACAAATACTGCAAGACATTCCTGTTTGACAGCAAAACTTTCGTGTATTTCTGACTCTAAATCTATTAAATTATCCAGAGTTGACCTGTTTCTTCTAAATCCACTTTGTTCGTTAATTATTAAGTTATTTTCCTCTAGAAACCACAATAACCTTTTATTTACCATTTTTTCTAATACTTTGCATATTGTGTTAGTAAGGGAAATTGGTCTATATGACGTAGGATCAGTTCGTGTTTTGTTTGCTTTCAATAAAGGTATTACTATTGCCTCCGCCCATTTCGATGGAAATTCATGACTATGCCAAATTTTGTTGTAAAGGTCAAGAAGGAATAGTTTTGCATTGTCAGGTAGATTTTGAAGAAAACTTATTGGAATGTCATCTGGTCCTGGTGCCGACTTTTTGGTGGTACTTAGGGAATGATTTAGTTCTTCTATTGTAAATGGTTTGTTGAGGGGGTTATCTTCCATGCCAATAAAATCAATTAGTTGTTGTTCTGTAGGTATCTTAATGTTTAAAAAGTCTTTGGAATAGTTGTTGTTACTAGTGTTAATTTCGAATTGCTTAGCAAATAACTCTGCTATTTCAACGTCAGATGATAATATTTTCTTGTTTCCATACAAGAACGGAATTTTTTTATAACTGTTGCATCCAGATATTTTTCTAACCTTTTCCCATACAGTACCTATAGGCATAGAATTATTAATACTAGACAGAAATTCTTGCCAAGATTTTTTTCTACTTGTTTTTGTAACATATCTAGCTTGGGCCCGTAATTTTCTTATATTCGATGATGTTTTCTACAGTTTTGCAACGCTTCATTTTGTTAAAAGAATTTTTATATTGTTTAATAACTTGACTACAATCTGTATTTCACCTTGGAAGGGAAGTTCTTTTCAAAATTTTTGTTTTTCCTACATAAATGTTAGCAGCGGTATATAATAGTGATATAAATGAACTTAATATTTCATCGATAGATTGATCTTTTGTAGTTTCTTCTAATGTTTGGTAATTGCATTGGATATAGGTTTTAAATGAAAACCAATCTGCTTTTTTCAGGTTCCATTTTGGAATCGAGGATTTATTGATTTTGTTGTCATTAATTGTCATAGAAATTTTAATGGGATAATGATCGCTACCATACAAAAATGGTATTACATCCCATGAAAGCTTTGGTGATAATGTAGGATCGCAAATTGATAAATCAATGGCTGATGAGGAACCCATGTGTATATTATATCAGGTTGGTTGACCGTCGTTTAACAGGTTTAAGTTTTTAGAAATTATCAAGTTTTCCAAGATTTTTCCTTTGGAATTTGTTCCTAGAGATCCCCACATTGGATTATGGCTATTGAAATCACCTATAATTATTCTCGGAGTTGGAATTTGATCCAATAAATCTGTAAGATCTGTTTCTGTTATTGATTGGTTTGGAGAAATATATATATTGCAAATACATATTTTTTGGGGAAATAGAACCGTTGCTGCTACTACTTCTAGATCACTCTTAATTTCCACAATTTTTGATTCGTAATTTTGGTTTATATACATAGCGACTCCTCCACTAGCTATAGTTGCATCGCTTCGATTTTTATAGTAACATGTATAATTCTTCATATGGTAAGTATGCTGTCCTTTAAAATTAGTCTCTTGTATACATATAATGGATGGTAAGATTTCTGAACATAAGTGTTTAAACATTTCGTAGTGAGTATAAAACCCGTTTATATTCCACTGTAGTATACAATCCATTTTTATTATTGTTATATATTTTATTCTTGTGAGGACTCTATAGAGCTATCAGAGTCCTCTAGAATCAGTTTTATGGCAGTTGGATTCATGTCAAGTTGTTTCATTATCTTTTTTCGTATTCTGGTACTTCGGTTTTTTATGACTCGATCCTTATAGTACGGGTGCATTTTTGACAATGTTTTTAAGAAGTCGTGAATATCTTCGGTGTATGTTTTCACTAGACTGAGAAGGTCTTTGTGCTCATATGAGTTTTCAAAAAAGTCTACGATCTGATCAAAGCTTAATTTCAGAGTTTCTTCTTTAAATACAGTTTTTGCTGGCTCTAATAACTGTTCTACTTTATTATAAGTTTTTGGTCTTTTGAAGGGTTTTGCCTTTGAAGCGATGAAAGGCTCTGCGAATACTTCAGTGGCGGGGGTGTATTTGCATCGGAAAAGTTTCGTTTAGCACTTGTGATATCGGTTTCCATTGGTTTTTGGAAAGTTTTCTCCTGGTTTTTTTTATTTGCGTCATTTTTGTTTAGATTTTCAGGTAGTTTTGTCGTTTCTTTTGATAAAATAGTCGTTGCAGAAGGTGTTTCAGGAGTTGTAGTGATATTCTGAGGTAAGGTCGTATTGGGAGGATTTGGGCAGTTATTAGCGAAATGGCCCTTTAGATTACAAGAAGTGCATTCTTGACTTTCATGTGACATAAAGATACGATAACTTGTGTTATCGTGTGTCACAACTACAGAATCAGGAACGATGGTGCAGGGTGGAGATATATACACTTGACGAAGAAAACTTAAGATATGTTTGTATGCTGGATTAGAGGAACCTATTCGTAAGAAACTCAGAGATGATGTTAGTGTATAGCCAAGTTGTTTTAATTCATGTTCGACGATTTCGTGTGGAATAGAGGGGCAGACATTTAATAATAGTAATCGTTGACTGGGTATTATTAATGGACGGGTTTGAACTTCTTCTCCATTTACTGCGATTATTCCTCGATGTTGTTTCATGAATTCATCTACGATAGTTTTGCTTGATAAGTACATACATATTCGGTTGTTGGATATTCTTGAACAGAATAAGATGTTCTTCGGATTAACATTATTTCCAATGGCTAAGAGATATTCTCCTAGTTTAACACCATTTAAGGAATTAAAAACAATAGCTTGTTCTTTTGATGGAAAAGCGGTGAGTTGTTGTTGAGTGACGGCAGTTGAATAGGTGTAAGGTTTATTAATCTTATCGTTGTTGGTTGAAGTCATCATTTATAATATTGTTGATTCAGAAAATGTTTCATTTAAAAATTTTTAAAGCCGGACCTGCTTTTTCTACAGGTTCGACTAATTAGGTAGTTTTGCTAATCTATTAAAGGTTAAACTTACCTTGTTTACGATTATTTTATTTATCAAATTATAGAATAAAATTATATACAAGAGTTTTTTATTCTTACTTTTTCGTGATGTGATTTATCACTTTTCACTAACACTTTTTACCAACTTTGATTCAATAAATTTTCTCTACTTTGTTTGTTTTAACGATTCTTATTTTTAAAAAAGGTAAGTGCATTTCTTTCTAAAATTAAGCATGTTTAAACGAAAACGATTTGTTTCTAAGCGCCATCAACAGAGAATAGTTAAGAAAAATGTAGAGAATATTGTTGAAAATATTAATAACTCGGATATTCAATTCTCTACAAATCTTTCTTCAGAATCTATAGCCTATTATTGTGATGTGAGTTGCAGTTCAATTAGTTCAGATTATACTTCCGATTTAAACTTATCAACATCATATCAATTACCTAAAACAATCAGAATGGACTACATGGACGACCATTCTGATTTAGATTCTTTAGAAAGTTATTCTTTAAGTGAAACTGATGAACGAGGGTCTAAACGTAGTTGTAACGAGAATTCTGGGGAAATTTCTCGAGAAGTTTTTAATTTTTCTAATAAATTATGCAACTGGGCATTGTCCTTTAAAATACCACAAAATGCATTAAGTGATTTATTAAAAATTCTTTAAGAAGTTCCTGATCTTTCTCATTTGCCATCAGATGCTAGAACCCTTCTTGCTTCACCCAGAGATCTCAAATTTAAAGATGTTTCTCCTGGAAAATACTTCCACTTCGGTCTTAAAAATACTCTGATCCATATGATTCAAATTTCAGAAGTTTTTTATCTTCGCAAAAAAACAATGTTATAGAAATTTGTGTAAATTTTGATGGAATTCCACTGACAAAGAGTTCTGGTAGCCAGTTTTATCCTATTTTGTGTAATTTGTTCATAGATCCAAAAATTGTAGGTGTAATAGGCATTTACCATGGTTATCAGAAACCAAAAGATGCAAATGATCTTTTAATTGATTTTGTAACTGAGGCTGTTGAAATTATAAATATTGGGTTAAGTTTTAATAATATCATATACTCAGTTGTTATTAAAGCAATTATTTGTGATGTTCCTGCAAAAACTTTTATTACATTTACTACAGGTCATATGAGTTATAATAGTTGTGATAAGTGCCATGTTAAAGGTAAATAACGAGACAATAGAATTTGTTTTTTATATACTGAAAACTTAATTGATAGGTCTGACAACGAATTTAGAAGCAAAAGTGATCCAAGACATCATAATGGCACATCTTTGTTAGAAAAGGTACCTAATTTTGACATGATACAGTGTTTTGTGTTAGATTATATGCATTTAATTTGTTTAGGAACAATGCGTAAGTTATTGTATTTATGGTGTTTTGATTCACAGTCTGGAAATAAATTGTCAGCAAAAGATGTATCAAAAATATCAGAACACTTACTTCTGCAAAAGTCATATATTCCGTCTGAATTTACTAGAAAACCAAGATCTCTTACTGAAGTTAAAAGGTGGAAAGCCACAGAGTTTAGACAATTTCTATTTTACACTGGACCTATTGTACTAAAATCAGTTTTATCTTCTAGTTTATACAAAAATTTTTTAGCCCTTTCTATTGCATGCATGCTCTTAACAAATCCAAAATATGCTAAACATACAGACTTGGCCCAAACTCTAATGAAATATTTTGTTCATTCTTTTATAGTCCTATACGGAGAGAAGCATGTATCTCATAACATTCATAATTTGCTACATATTTCTAAAGATGTCAATTATATGGGAGTTTTAGACAAATTTAGTACTTTTCCATTTGAGAACATCCTTCAAAAGCTCAAAAATCTAGTGAGAAAAGGAGATAATCCTTTGGCTCAGGTTGTAAAAAGAATTATAGTAATTAATTATCATAAGCGGGTTAATAAAGTAAATATTGAAATTGAAAAAAAATTTACAACAAAACGACAACATGATAAAGGACCATTAGTTCAGAATGCTACCTTTCCTCAGTTTGAGTCACTTATTTTTAATGAATTTACCCTAAAAATCATTGAACCAGATAATTGTTGTGCTTTAAAAGATGGTATTTTAGTCACTATTCAAAATTTTGCCAGTTTGAATGGAGATATTGTTATTATTGGCTATAAGTATCAGATTAAAGAAGATTTTTTTTGTAAACCCTGCAGGTCTTCTGATTTAAACATATATTTTGTTAAAAGCTCAGGTCCCCTTCAAGTATTTCAAGTAGAAAATATTGCCTATAAATGTATTAAGTTAAGTTATAAAGATAGCTTTGTTATAATGCCTATGTTATATACAGATATTCTTTAGTGACAAAATAAAATATTTTATTAAAAAAAATTTATTATAATTTTGTTTAATTATATATTGGAATTTTCCATATAGTTTTAATTTTAATATTATGGGATGTGTCTGTATGTTTAACGCTAGTTTAGGTTGTATGTTATCTTGTCTCAAAAGAACATTTACCATTTAATGTTTTCACATGTGTAGGTATTCAATTTCAAAATATTTATTTATTTAAAGTCCCCAAACGTCAACACATAATAAGGCTTCTTTTCTTACTCCCTTAGAGTCATTATGGGTGAGTCCTTCGATATTTGGCAATTAGTTTGATTCTAAATTAGACTTATTATAACCCCTTTTATATTTCATTTAAACTTATGGTTAATCTAAGGTTATGTTTTAAACATAAAATTTGCTGCTTTTAATTATTTTAGTGTTATCATGAAAACCTGGACAGTAGTTAGATTTTTAAAAGATGGCTCAGTAGAGGCTGTGCCAACAAATTGGCTAAGCGGCAATACCTGTTCTTGGCCACATTATGAGGCCAATAAATTAGGAAAGGCCCTAAAAAATGGTGTCCCACCTTTACCTACGTGGGAAAAACATGAAATAAGTTCATTTAGAAATGCGACATATGGTAAGAAATGTAAATGGACCTTCTAGTTGATCTATATAAATAAACAAATAATTTTTTTCCATAGATGATTACAGTATTGCAAGGAGGAAGTGCCAGAAGGCGGAGGAAACATCGGACCTAAACTCATCAGATAATAGGCCTGGCAGACGCCGTCCTCCTACAAAGTTTGCCACCACTAGTAGCAGCAGCAGTGAGTCAGAGAGTGCTAAGGGGCATAAAAATACCCAAAGCAATCTTCCAAAAATGCCTGAATTTGCATTAAGTAAAGCATCAGGTAATTCACCACAAGTTTTTAGATTTGTTTTTAACCTATATAATTTATATTTTAGGAATTATTTCCCATTAAATTCACTCTGTTTTTTAGGTGATTCAGATTCTTTGCAGGAAGAGGTTGGTGCGAAAGAATCCATGGAAGATGTAGACACAGGTACAAAGAAAATATAAAATAATAGCATCAGAGTGAAACTTCTATAATTAATTTTAGTTCAGTATCTTTTATACAAAATTTGCTACAATGCCACTTATGCAAATAGGGGTAAATAGAAATTTGTTTCTATTAGGCCTTATTTAATTATGCTTCTTATGAATTACATAGAAGTTCCACTGTATTTTTTTTATATCACAGCTATAAGTAAATATTTAATTTTAACCTATTTTATATTTTGGTTGACAGCAGTGGAAAAAATGGAGCTGCATGTAAATGTGAAAAACAACAACAAAAAAATGAGGGTATGAAAAATTTTTTTAATCTCACATAAATTTTCTCTTTTTTAGAATATCTAAAACACATCCTGAGAAAATTAAATATGTTAGAATTAATTGTTACTGACTTACGGGCTGAAGTCAGTAATCTTTCGAAGATATCTACATCATCACCCCGAGAACTCCAAGAACAGCCAACTCTTTTGAATATATGGGAAAATTTCTCCCTGCCTTTGGATTCGGAAGAAGAGTTTGCAAATTTTGAGGATTTTTGAAATCCTCAGAAAAAAAATTTTAATCGGTAAGTTCTATACTGTTACTAATACCAAATTCAGTGTATTCATATTTTGGTAATCAGTGATAATAATAAGATGCTAAGATTCTACTAACCGAGTAGTCTCTGAAAGTAGGTTGAAGGCCAAATTTAGGACCCAAAGATAACAACTATTGTATATCAGGAGGAACATCTATGTTAGATAAACTCTCCAGAATTTAAGAAAATTCCTTTTAATCCTAAATGGATAAAAAATTTATCTAACATAGATGTTCCTCCTGATATACTTAAGTTGTTATCTTTGGGTCCTAAATTTGGCCTTCAACCTACTTTCAAAGACTACTCGGTTAGTAGAATCTTAGCAGATGTTGAGAATATTTTGTCACATGCTGACAACTCCGACCTTTTATCCCTTAGGTCTTCTTCTAACAACATCTTGCTGAATTTCACCAAACGCCCTAGGCAACCCTTACCGGAGTTAGATAAGATTTACAGGGAGACGGTATCGTTTTTAAAAACCCACCCTAATCTTCTCGTTCTTACGAGTGACAAAGGTAATGCTACTGTCCTAATGGATAGAGATCAATATGTCAGCTTGAGCAAATCACTGTTAGATGATGATAGATACTATCAACCACTTTCCAATAATCCTTGTTCGAAATTCACTAATAGAATTAACAAATTTATAACACACTTAAAAAATATCAAGATCATAGATCAACCGTTAGCTAAATATTTACATAATTATGATGGATATGCTCCGCGATTCTACTGTTTGCCCAAAATACATAAGCCTACACTTAGTATGAGACCTATTGTATCATCAATTAACTCACCTAATATTAATATTTCTAAATTTCTAACGGATATCTTATCTAAATCATATAATTACAGCAATGATTATAATATTGTTGACTCTTTTCATTTTAGTGAATTTATAAATAATTTTAAACTACCACAAGGTTACATTTTAGTAAGCTTTGATGTGGTCTCTCTTTTCACTAACTTACCTTTGTCCAGTGTTATCACCTCCTTGAAAAATCATTGGAACTCTATTAAACCTAATTGCCCTATTTCTTGGGATATTTTTGCAGAACTTTTGCAACTAGTCTTTGACACTAACTTCTTAGTTTTTGAGGACAAATTTTACCTCCAAATATTTGGCACACCTATGGGTTCCTCAATCTCACCCATCCTAGTTAACTATGTACTAGATGATTTGGTCTCTGACCGTTTAGGTCGCTTAGAATTTCCAATCCCTTTTATTAAGCGGTATGTGGATGATTTATTATTAGCCCTACCACCTGACAAGGTTCAGGGTACCTTATCCTTCTTCAATGAATTTGATCCTCACTTACAGTTCACTGTTGAACTTGAGGACACTGTCACAAATAGTATCCCCTTTTTAGACATGCGTGTCATCAGAATGGGAGATAACACCCTGACCACAAGTTGGTATAGAAAACCAATGGCCTCCAATAGGTTCCTTAATTACCATTCCTGTCATCCTATGAAATATAAATTGAACCTTATTAAAGCACTTAGTTGCAGATTACATAAATTGACACATCCGATTAATCGAAGGAAATCCCTTAAGTTATTGAGAAATATTCTAATTGAAAATTCATATCCTTCCTCCATCATAAATAAATACCTATACTCTCAAAGTTATGGATCCTCTTTTGATGATATACCCAATGGTGACCAACTTAGAACCATTTCGAATAATTCAGTCAATAGCATTGTTCTGCCTAATACTGATCTTGAGAATCCTACCACCCATTATTCATCTCTGCCTTATTTTCCTCAAGTTACAGAGAAGCTTATTAAACTATATAAACATAATAACATACCAGTTAAAATTGCAGATAAGAATGCTAAGACTGTTAGAAATTTGTTTTCTAAAACTAAAACACCCTTGTCCACTTTGGAACAAGTTAACACTATATACTATTTACCCTGTGCTGAGTGTGACGCTTGCTATATTGGTCAAACTGGAAGATCACTAAAAGGACGTCTTACTTCCCATCGAAGTGACATTAATCTTTCTAAGCACACATGTGCGTTAGCGCAACACGCAATTAACACCAAACATAAGGTGAATTTCAATGAAGTTAAAGTTCTTGGCACTGAGCGCAATCTTAGTAAAAGACAGTTCTTAGAAATGTGTTCCATTCTTAAACATCCTAATGCTTTAAATAAGAGAACAGACATAAGTAACTTGAGTCAAATATATCATGCTTTAATATTGCAGAATTAGGCTTTACAATCAGTTCATTATGTATGTGTCTCTAGAGTCGTATAATTCAACACATTTTCTTTATTAAATAAATTTAACTTACTATAATGAATACTTAATAAAAAATATATTATTACATAAATACTAATCAACTTAAACTTACTTATGCAACTCACATTGCATATTTGGTCGTTTTTCATATATTGATTAATTTGACCCTCTGGTTTTTTACTTTAATATAAATAAATACAATTCAACCTTTGAATATTTTACAAATTAAAGTTCCAAGCGTGGGACCTTGGACTTTTTGGAAATTAGGTGCTTATCGTCAAACACCTGTAGATGTATAACCAACTACACTGTTGACGTTTACCACTCATTTAAATATGGAGTTTAATGAATTTGACCTACTTGTTTGTTCTAGACTAGTTGATGCAGGGGATTAGCGTTATCGCTAATTTCTTTCATTGTTTGGTCTCTTACGGGAGGGTTATCATTTAAACTCATGTTAACTTTTTCAAATTTACCGCCATTAAATTAGTGGGTTGGTATTATTAACCTTGCTGTTCTGTCGATTAATTTTCGACCTCAAGGCTGGCTGTCTGTTTCATGTCATTGACTCGGTACCTTTTAATTTAACGCCATTTCAACTGCAACAGGTGCCAAGCAAACAGTGGTAACTTAACTTTATATCTTTTTTATACATATTTTTTTATATCTTAATGTAGTTAACTTTAATAATGCTACCAAAAGTTAAGATGAAGTTAAATTAAAATCTTTTTGCTTAGTTGGAAGTGAATCAATGATTTTCTTAGTTCTGCTTCACTAGTTAATATTATATTAAATATTATATGCTTATTACACCACGTGTTCTGTTGCTTTGCTAATTTTTACTAAGTCTCTTAATGTTGTTGGTTATTTAATTGTTTATACAATATCACCATACGATGTCCATTTATTTGAGTTTTTGTACTGACTTTTTAACACCATTGACAACTACATATCTTTTTTAAGGTAACTATTTAACATCTTCTTCATGAATGTGTGGTACTCTAATGTAAAAAAATTTTTAGATGAACTGATGATGCTATCAGAATTCGATAGCGAAACGTCTTCAAAATAGATGAAGTAGTATCAACTTTGTCTTTTATTTCTCCACCTAGTTGACCGATTGAACCCACCACTCATCTGAGTGATCCTTATTTATATATATATATATATATATATATATATATATATATATATATTCACATATACACAAAAAATATACACAAATATGTGGTAACATATTGGAGTAGGGTGAAAGATTGAAATAACTTTTTTTTATTAGATAGTTTAACTAAAATAATTAAGAAAGAAGAATCAAGTTTAAGGGGTAGTTAGGTATCCATTACATTATGATTTATATTTTAGGTTAATGAGCTTTCCAAAATTGGTGGGGAGACAGTTGATGAGTTTGTTAAAAGATGCCTTAAGAAGCTCATCAGCCACCAAATTCAGGGCAAATATATTTGGCTGGGAAAAAGACAAAAAAAGGCTTTTGCAGAAACAAATATAGCCATGCTTATAAAAGGTTTGTAACTTGTAAATATAAAATAATTTAACCCTTTCAATCCTGATTTGTTTATTTTAAAATTTGATATATTTGTCTGTAGTTTGTTGTTCTAGAGCATTTAAAAGAACTAAGAATGTATTTAAAAAAATTTATTTTTAATTTTTTTTTGGTAAAAAATGCATGGGATTATATATCCCAACAGTATTTTTGTATGGGATATATAATCCCAACAGTATACATGAACAATAAATGTTTATACATGATATGGGGTAAAACAATCGTTACATAACGGAACATCACACATTTTACAAATAAATTTGGTACGTTTATCTTTCTTATGTTGTGTACACCTTATACACCTCAAGCGATTGGATTTTCCTAATATAGGTAAATGGTTGCCAACATTACTCATCACTGTGGATGACATGCTTCGACGGCCAACATGTTTGGTTTTTTTTCTTCTTTTTTAGTCCTTGTCGGCCAGTACTGATAAGAATCTCAGCTAAGTCAACCAGATAATTTAGAAAGGGTATTTTCTTATTTCTGGTATGTAATTCAGTATATAGAATATATGAATTGTATACTGCCATCATTAGAACTTTGTAGTAAACCTTCTTCCACCATTTTTGGGATTTTCTATTAAGATCGTACACAGATGTCATTTGATCGCATCTATCTACACCTCCCATGTAACGGTTATAGAATTCAATCGATACAGGACAACAAATGTTGGCTTTTGTACCATCTTTCAGTTTTCTACACACAGTTGTTTCTTCTGGCTTATGGCAGTTAGTTAGTACAATAAAATCTTTTGTGTCCTGCCATCGTATAGCTAATGTTCCAGTTTCATTACCTTTTACTTGCGATTCTCCTCGATTTAGCTTGCCATGAAATTTCGGTAAATTTTTTCGGGTACTCATGCATGTACCTACAGCAGGAAACATAATGGTATCCATAAGATGAACTGTTGTAAAAAATCTGTCGAAGCAAATTACAACATTTTCATTAGAAATTGTTGAAGATAACTGATTTATGACACGTTCTCCCAAAGTACCTGCCATCTTATTATCATTTTTGCCTGCATACACATTTATATCGTAAACATAGCCAGTTTCCGAATCGCATCTTGTCCATAACTTTATGCCACGTTTTATGGGTTTGAGGGGCATATACTGTTTCAATGTAGATCGCTCTTTGAATTTTGCCATAGACTCATCAATTGCTTGATAGGTAGAATCACTTCTAGCTCTCATAAAACTTGTCTTCAAGCAGGAAATAACATCATCTATATAATAAGTTTTATTTGATGTGGCAGGTTGATTGGGTTCGGCATAATACAATTTTGATAATAGTAGTTGGCACCTATCCCTTGATATTGCACTACGAATACAATCATTTCCAAGCGATTTAATATTAGACCAGTACATTGCGAAAGAAGGAACTCTATTATAATGCATAACTAACGTAACACCAGTAAGTAGCATCATTTCTTTTTGGCACGTTTTGACAAAAGTTTTCTTCTTTTTCTCTTCTAAAATTTCAAGCCTACGGTTTGTACACTGGGCCATGTACATAAACAAACTTTTAGGAAATACTTTTAGAAAACAGTCTAATGTAGAACTGCCTCGATTCAATTGATCTGTAATAACTGGGGCTGTTCTGGCTGGTAGATCATATCTCGGAATAAAATTTTCTGCATTGACATCAGTCCAAACAGTGGAAAATTCTGAACTAGTTGGTGGCAAAGGTTGCATTACCTCGTCTGCATCTTGGATATCTTCATCATCGTCAGAAGATTCCTGATCTGAAATTTGAGCTGCATTCTCAGTTTCATTACCTATATTCACTTCACTTTCAAGTGAACTTGCCTCACTTAGTTCATCTGATGACAAAATGTAGTCCTTATCCACCATACTATCATCACTACTATAGTTTATACTTTCAATTTCATCAATGTTATTAGCATAGTAATCAAGTTCATCTTCGGTAAGTTTCTGTTTCTTTCGATCCATACTAAAAAAAGGAAGTTGGTTATACCTGTCGGGATAAAATTTCCCAGCAAAAACACCTGTTGGGATATATAATCCCATTCAAGATTTATTGCCCATTACGATAAATTTTGTACTGAGCGGCAATATTAAATTATGTACTCACCTATCTTAATCTTTTATAATTAACAATCAGCAACCAAAATTATCCTTACGCCAACAGAAATATGTTATCAACACAGTTTTATATGATCGTACTCACAACGTGTTCATATTACACTAAATTTTAAGTTAAAATTTGATGCTGACGGTGGATACTCGATTTCACGTTATAAGAAATGCCACAGTCTACTGAAATATCCCATCCCAATGCAGTTTTAAGCCAGTTTAAAACATTCAGAATTTTTCAATCATGTGTTGGGATATATATATATATATATATATATATATATATATATACATATATATATATATATATATATATATATATATATATATACATATATATATATATATATATATATATATATATATATATATATATCCCGACAGCAGTGGAAGGGTTAAGGTACATTTAAGAATTTACTCTATCTCAAGTAATCACATACATAGGATAAAGCATATTGTTAACTGTGTCTATATAAAATTTAGATGGAGAAATTTACAGACTCTACAAATGTTTGGGTCATTAGAAATAAATACCAATTGTTGAGTTGGTATTCTTCTAGTTCAGGCTATATTCATTAACACTTGAAATTGACTTGTTTAAATTTAATCAGATGATGATTTATTCACAACAAACAAAGTATAATTCATTAAATCTGAAACTAATTTCTTCAGTTTAATATACAATAATTCTGTTTTTAGATGCTGCTTGGAAAAATATGAAAACTAGTACTGCCACAGAAAACAAATTGAGAGTGCCATCATGAAATACCTCAAAAGGGCCAAGGAAAGGGCAAATGCCAAAATAAAAATACGTAGACAAAAACAGAAGTCAATTTTTGAGAAACATTTTTATTTATTAAAAATATCTAAAAAAATATTTACCTCTGATATAAAATAGATAAATCAAAATGATGGAAGCTGTATGTATTTCCATATCAAGTATTGATCTTTTTTGTACTTATGATTTTAACTTTAATTAATTAATTTTAATTTTAAAACTCAAATATTGACATGTCTACTCACCACACAATTGAAAGTGAAATAATTATGATATTCCAAATTGCATAAAGTTGAATGATTTTGTTTTTGTGAGCCACAGTCATCATGTTGATTTTTCCAATTTCTATAACAGTATCTATAATCCTTCTTTCTTCTGTCCAGACAAGTGGAGTCAAAGACCTGATATTAGTCACAGCCATATTCACTCATTAACTATTAAAATTTGTGACATTCTAGCATGCTTACAGTGTCTTAATACCAATGAAGGTATTGTTCCAGACGGAATATCGTAACTTATTTTTAAAGAATTATGCATTGTTTTTATGTAGGCCTCTATGGCTTATTTTTAATAAATCTCGTGACTAAGGGTTACTTTCCATCGCAATGTATTTATTGATTTTATACTTAAAACATTTTTTTCTAATTATTGTTACATTATAATTCTACTATTCCTAAAATATTCGAGGCTTTACTGACTGATTTTTTGGCAGTACATCTGAAGAATCCTATTCATACTGGTCAGCAATGTTGCCTGTCTGGTCATTCAACTTCTACCAATTTACACTGATTATGTTATAATTACATTAAAAAACATTTTTTATGTCGATTAGATTTATACGACTTGTCTACAAGCATCTACTGTTTTTGTAAATTGTGTAGACCATATTCTTATTCTGGTATGATCAATTTCTTGAATCTGGATTCTCTTACCAGAAGTTACCTTTCAATTTGTATTTTTAAGGTTGTTCATAAAATAACCAATCTCCTGAATTGCTTCATCTAGTTTGTTTTCATATTCCTCCTCATTCACTGCGACATTTCCATGTTCCTTACTGCAGAACTAATTATGGTTCAATTATAGGTATGGTCTGAATCTTCTGTATCAATAGCTTTAGAATGTGTACTTATTTTATTTTTATCTGTAACTTTGTGTATGTTACATTTTTATATAATTTTGACAGTGTATTTGTTCAATTTGTTATTAATCTTCTTCTTCTTTGGGTGCCGTGTCCGTATTCAGACGTTGGCCGTCATCATGCTTACAATTTCCTGAAACCTTTCTCTGTCGGCTGCTGCGCGAAATAATTCTTCTACTGTGAAACCACACCATTGTCTAATATTACGCAGCCATGAAAGTTTCTTTCGACCAATCCATCTCTTTCCTTCCACTTTTCCTTGTATTATAAGGCGAAGTAAATGGTATTTGGGTCCTCTAATTATATGGCCGAAGTATTCTGTTTTTCTCCTCTTTATGATGTTTATGTTATTAATAAATAAATATAAATATATGTAATAATAAATGTAAGGTCCTTTAAACAATATATGTTTTATTACTCATATATATATATATATATATATATATATATATATATATATATATATATATATATATATATATATATATAACAATATATTTTTATAATGTTGCATTTTTGTATAATTTTGGTTAATAATAAATAAATATAAATAAATTTAATAATAAATGCAAGTTCCATTAAACATTTACGTTTTATTTCCCAAAATACACTCCTAATATGCATATGTTGACGCCACTTTTAGTACTGTATACAATGGCGTTGGGGTTTAATTTACATTCTCGGCGCTAAAATAGACGTCCGAAAACATCACAAAAGTCCATCCAGTAAGTCTTCAATATGTATTATCAACGTTCGATTAAGGTCCAATTAACGTCCCGGTACGTCCATTTTACGTCCGCTCGGGACGTAAAATGGACGTCCATAGGACGTTTGGCGCAGCGACATTCGGACCAATATAGGACGTAAAACGGACGTAAATAGGACCAAAGCGGACGTTCGAGGGACGTCCCTAAAGTCCGTGAGGGACGTACTATGGACGTCCACGGACGTACGTGTGCTATTAGGGTACGTACTGATGAGATATAAAGTATGTACAATGTACGTACTTTGCTGTACGAAGTACGTACTTAATACGTACATAAGACGTACATTTTCAAATTGATGGTACATACCTTAGTACGTACTGAAGGTACGTACCTAGTACATATTGAAGGTATGTACCTAGTACATACTTTATATACATATTATTTACATACTATACACACTTATGATGATTTATTTAAATAAAAGTAAATATACTTGAATATATCTTTATTATTTTATGAATTTTAAAGTTTACCAAATCGTTTTGTTTTAAATATATTTATTGTTTTATAGTTTATTCGTCTTCCGGGTTTGGACCGTGTCATTTGTGAGTGACCCAAAAGTGGGTTCATCTCCCACTTTTGGGTCACTCACAAATGACACGGTCCAAACCCAGAAGACGAATAAACTATAATTCTGACTCTGGCCGTGGAAGCCTACGATTTCATTTAATATATTTATTCTTTAAATTTATTTATCTAACTTCCTTACCCACAAAATGCATTTTTCAGTATGACTGAGTAAATTAAAAAACACTCGACTGAATAAGATAACAGGAAATAACACTATAAGCACCAACACCAAAAATAAGTAAAATAAATTTATATGAAACTGTCTTGCAATGAATTATCGCGTCAAAACTGTACTCGAGGTGGAAAATTCCTAACCAAATAAATTAGGTTAGGTTAACTAAATAAATATACTTTAGTTCTTCTTTCTCATGGTACATACTCAAGACGTAATAGTACGTACTCTTCTGTACGTACTGGTATCTACCTCAGTGTACGTACTTGAAACATACATTTTACATCAAGTACGTACAGTACCAAAATTGTACGTACTCAAAACGTACTGTGCTGTTTGGGATATTCCATTTACTTTTATTTATTTATTAGCTTTAATACATACTATTTTGATTTAGTTTTATATCTTTTATAAAATTAAATTAATATGAGCTCTATGGTTAAAATTGTTGTGCTATTTAAATAAAACAAAAAACTAAATTCATCATACCCATTGATAATCCCAAGTATTATTCAATAACGCTGGTCCAAAACTTCTGGCGGGATTCATATGACCACCGCTAAGAGTCAGCTAAAAATAATTAGGTAGTTTTAGATTTTTTGGTGAAAAATACAAAACTGTTTTAATATTTAAAATATCTGTACTACTACAATTGCATTACAATTACAACAACTTCGAATAGTTATCCCAGAGGATATATGTTTCCTTGTGACGAGAAAATTACACAGAATATAAACAACTCAAAATCAATAAGGTTTGCTAAATTAACAAAACTGTACTAAAATGATGGTATAAACTTATTAAATGTTTAGACTCTCGAATGAGGTGCGAATATTGTGAAAGATTAGTAAAATCAGGATATTGTGATATATAAATATATATAAATAAATCGTGAAAATTTAAAAGTACCAAAAGTATGGTAGTAGGTATCTTAAAATAAATAATATAAAAATTGTCTAAAATGAAAAAGACAAATGCTAAAAAGGACTTAATGAAATGTAAAAACTGTATTATGAAGGGCAAGGCAAAATGGATAATATTCAAGAGGGCAAATATGGCTGGGAAGTATAGAGGAGTTCAGTCAAGATAATTTCAGAGGAACGAGTTAGCATATTTTGTTCCATGTACTGTGTGCTTCCCCAATTTAGTTCCTCAAAATTTTTTGGAAACATTGACCAGTATATATATACTACATTGTAATTGTATCATTGTATTGTATTATGTATTTATGTAGCATTTAAACTAACTATCAGCGCCATCTATGTAGTAAGTGCTGAATGAAAACAACCAGCGAAGAAGAACTCTCTGTCACGTTTTATTTAATTCAGTCTCTTCTTACCGCCAAAACTGATATTAAAAATTCCGCTTAAATATATCTATCTGAAATAAAAATCATAAACTAAAATTCTGATACTTACTCCAGCCATTGCAAGTCCAGTCACAGCAAGTCCAAGCCGTAAAGGTACAGAATCGCTTTTGTTTTTATTTCGAGCATCCCAAATACCGCAACATACCCATATTAAAACTAAAGTGAGTAAAAACTCTGACAAAAATATTTGAACAGAATTAAGGTTGTGGTTTGGATCAGGTGAACATAAATTTGGTGCATCATTTTGATGATTTTTTATTAATACCTAAAAGAAAGAATTACAATAAATAATGTGATATTTAAAAATTGTGGATAGTTTGCCATCTATACCCTATTGAATTAATTGATTCCTTGACAGCCTGACAGCTGTTTCAGAATTTTTTTAATATTTTTTTGTTTTTCTTTTCATAATTTAGTAATTTGGAAGTGAAAATAGAACCGATACATTTATTCCATTAGTATACAACATATTAAAAATATTCGAGGAAAAAGAGACCAGCATCTGGTGTTACGACAAGTCGTGTAAGAATGACACATCTGATCAAAGGTATCTATGCGACATTGTTTTTTCATTATAAGGAACTATTTCGGCTTTCATTACTTGGCTTTCCAGTTACCGAATTAACTAATGCAATATAATGCATAAGAAAGTTGATAACAATAATACCACTTTGTTTGCCATAGAAATAGAGGAGATCCTTGTACCTTAGGACACTTTTCTTCAATCCCATACAACTTCTATTTTAATTAGGTACCTTAAAGTATTGATTTTTCCAATGTTACATATTTATAGTAGTATTAATAAAAAGTCATATTTAGAACTGCTAAAAATACAATTTTGACTAAGGATAAAAAAATGAGACCTGATTTTGGGATATTGTCTCAGTACAATCACGTCTTGTATTTTAGGACGGTGACGTTTTTATCTTGGGATGAAATATATTTTTACAAGCACTTTATCCTTTTACATTGTTTTAGAATAAAGAAGTGATAATTGCAAAATTAAAAACATATTTGATAAATATTTTTTATTTTTTAAATGCAATAATAATTACATAATACAAAACAATAATGCATTATTCATTATCTGTGAATAATGCATTATTCACAGAGAAATGCTAGCAACCAAATAGTTGAGTCCTGAACTCAATGAAGTCCTCCTTACAGTTGTAAAGGCTGTGAATTTGCTGAAGCTGAAAGCTCTTAATTCAAGATTGCTTGCTACGCTTTGTGATGATATGGGCTCGCTTCATTCCAAACTTTTCCTCCACACTGAAGTACGATGGTTATCCCGAGGGCGTGTATTGGCCAGATTTTATGAACTTAGAGAGTAGGTTTGTCTGTTCCTTGACAAAACAATCCAGAACTAGCGACTGTGTTTCTTGGCTAAAAGTGGATGGCTCAATGGGTGGCTAAAAGCAAGTTTAGCCACCCATTGATGGACAATAGGTGGCTAAACTTGCTTTTTTGACTGATATATTTGAAATTATAAATGTGCTGAATCTTGGTCTTTAAGGGCCCTTACACACAGTATTCGATCTGTGGAAAAAAATTGCTACATTCAAACAAAAGTTAAAGTTATGGAAAACTGAAGTAGAGAAAGGATCTTTTGCTATGTTTAATCTATTTTCTGAATTTATAATAGAAACGGAAGGTATGAATATAAATAAAGAACAGCTGTCATCTGTGGTAAAGGCTTACATAGCATCGCTTCAAGGGTATTTTGACAACTATTTCCTGCCAGTTTTGACGTCAGTTCTAAAAACTTGTGGGTGGCAAACTCTTTTTTACCACTCAAGGATATTGATCTTACACTTAATGAATAGAAAGAACTTATTGAGATATCTTCTGATCCTCAGCTTGAAGTTGTCAAAATACAATGTGACAATATTGCAAGCTTTTGGATCAAGTTACTTGATGAGTACCAAACCCTCAGCCAAAAAGCCTTGAAAATTCTACTTCCTTTCAATTCTACATATCTTTGTGAAACAGCATTTTCAACGCTAAATGTTATTAAGAATAAGCATCGTAACAGATTGTTGAAATTGGATGCTCCATTCAGGTTGAGTTTGACCTCTTTGAAGCCAAATATCGAAGATCTTGCCAGTAAAATGCAAAACCAAGGAAGTCACTGAGAGACTTAGTGTCATATTTTGTAAGCGTTTTACAATAGATTTATAATGTTTCTATAACTATATTAAGACTATAACTTTGTTTTTTTCTTCTAATTACTTACACTTAATACAATGTATATTAAAGGATTTAAAATATATTTCCCTAGTTCTCAATTTAATTAACCTAGTTATAAAATCATGTGGTCCGCAGACGTTTTCTTATAGATCTTGTGGTCCTCGAGGGAAAAAGGTTGGGAACTACTGATCTAGGGGTCCGTCAAGACATTTATTTTAACAGACAAACAATACTGGACCACGAAACAGGTATTGTTTCATACAGGATAACTCTGTAATGTTAGATTACTGACTTGCCCTGAACTAGTCTGGTAATTTTTTTCCTTACAAAATAACATTTTGATTACTAAAAATGAAGGTTACACGGAATAAGTCACATATTAACCATTTTGAGTTCTGGAATCTTTTAATTAGTCTGTTGTATTTTTGTTGCTAGCTCAAGTCTTCGACTTCTAACAAAAAACTATAAAAGGAGGTATAGTTTTCATCTTCTGTTAATAGTTTACATTTGCTCTTATAATTCCAGCCTTGGGAATTGAACATTTTATTTTAAAGAGTAGTGACTTAGCCGCTTTTTCCACTGTTCAATAAAAAAGAACAATTGCTTTATACTATTTTTTTAATTCTCCGGATTAAAGAAAATAAAATTCTGCTTATGTGGCTGGTATATTAAACTTAATTGTGAAAAAGGGTGGATAGAATACGTTGAGCTGCTGGACCACAAAGTTGTTTTAAACATTGCAAATCGGCATACTTTTCTTTGGATATGTTGATCAGCCCTGAAAAGATATCAAAATAATAAAAACAGTTTTAGAGATATGACACGTGGGTTTAACCATAATTACTTATTTCAGGAAGTATAATTCGCCTTCGTTTAAACCGCTACTTCTTCAGTTTCTTACTTTGATTACAGCAGTCTCCCACATTGCATTGTAAAACTGTCTATACTTGATCATTCTTGAAAGCTCCTTTGGTGCCTCAAATTCTTTAACTTCGCATATCGGAAAGGCAATTTCTTTTTATACAAAATATAAAGATAATTGGTCTGCTGAAAATATATTCCTTGATTTTCAGAATAAATCTTTACCACATTAAGGGGTGCTGACTTGGATCTAGTGGAACGTATTAAATCACATAACTCGTCAATGGTCTCTTACTGATTTTTGTGTTTTATAATTCCAATATCCTTGTCAGTCTTCATATAAGAATGGCTTTTAACAAGAAATATAACTTTGATGTAATCCAACCGTTTCTGTCCATAAACGACATGGTGTATACCATTTTTTAAAGTAAAACACTTGCACGTCACGATTTCTATAAAGTGACGTCACTTGTATTTAAAAATTTACAGAACATCAACCTTAGAGTTCAAATTTGACTAACAGAGCTAATAATACGAAACCCATACGGAACTGCTCGATCTTTCATAGGCATCAACATGGTGGAATATTCAGAAAAATGTAATTATCATTATATGGGAAATTTTAAAATTATATTGATTAAATAACCTCAAACATTTGTTATTATTAATAGGGGAGAGTGTTGTACCTCGGACCGGGTTGTACCTCGGGTCAGTTGACTTTCTTTCTTACCCACTGCAGATTTCTCTTCGATTTGGTTGAATTAGTGGTTTAATAATATCAGCGGTAGATGGCATCTAAACACACTTATCATATCAAATAATTGCAGCGTGGTGACTTGCAGAGCGTTTTGTGTTTTGTTTGATCGTAAGTAAATTATTTACCTATTTGTTATCTGTTAAAAGCCGCTTCAAATGTAAATATATATATATATATATATATATATATATATATATATATATATATATATATATATATATATTATTATCTGTAATGGACAATATATATTTACGCTTGATAATCATGAATGTATTTTTTGTCTAAACGCATAACCTAATTTTATATTAAAATGTTTTCCTATGTATTTTAATGTGTTGCAGTAGTCTTAATACTAAGTGTATTTACTGTTAATATAATAGTTTGACAAATAGTTGACATTTTAAAAATTCCTCACTTACTAACTATTCTGATGTTTTGACAACGCTGTGGGGTTCTGACGACGTAAATCTTGAATGACCTGCAAGTTTTTTTATATGAAAAATGCTATGGAAAGCTAAACATTGTATAGCTTTTATTTTGTCCTCCGCAGGAGTCACAAAAAATGTCTTATCGGCGAACTTGTTCATCCAGGTAATTATATAGAAAGTCGTTCAAACGAAAAACAACATCGTTACTGCCTTTTTTGCCAAATATTTCTGGATACACCTAGAACACACTCTCTGATGTTGAAAGTACATTAACATTAAAAGGAAACGTAAAAAGCTGTCGCTTTTAATAGACGTCATTGATTTATATTAGGAATGGATAAGTTTCTACCACAGTATAGACAGATTTATTTCCTCGTCACATCCTGAAAGCTTAGTGTTTTGGATTTACGCTTTCTCAAATAAAATTCTGCTGCTCATCTGTTATGAAGGTTATTTTCTATCTTAACCCTCCGTTACTTGCGCGGGGTGTTGTGAACACCCCATGCGTATATAACTGCTAATATTTTCTACGAAATAATATCATCGTCGCCGTGCGCCTATGTAGCTGCATATTTTCGTCGTCTTTACCACCTGGAAGAATCTGATCAGTGTACTGTTAGTCGTTGTACCGTAAGCAAGTGCTTGGGGTGCTGCAAACACCCCGCGAGTAGTTAAGTTACATTTTGTTTATCGATATTTATTTTTTGCCGGTAAGTATATTTATTTGTTTTACACATATATGGTAGTCTGAACATGTACTTTGTCTATATAATATTTCCAATATTATTTTTAGGAAAAATAGACGAATATGAGGCCGAACAAGCGCGATTACTCAAACTTTTTGATGAATGTACGAGCGATGATGAAATACCATCAGAAGAAGAATATTCTTCAGATGAAGAATTGACCCAAATACGAAGTGATTCTGAACCAGATAGTGAGCATGAAGTTATGAATTAATCTTCTAGTGACGAGGACCTGACAAGTGATAACGAACAAGAAGACGGAAATCGTTTTTATCTTGGAAAA